AGCCCAGTCTAGGTTAAGTGGTTTATCCATCTTGACACAGGGAATCCCTGGATGAGCTGAGACTTGAACCTGCATCCCCTGCTCTGAGCACACCTCTTGGTCATATTTCTGGACTGCGTCCTGGGAGACGCCAGAAGAAACCACACAGTTATACATGAAGGACACTCTTTCAGCACTCCTACAAATCTCACCAGAGACTAATTTCTGAGTAACAGTTTGCCCAGCCCAAGCATGGACTCCTGTGTTCCCACTATCTGTTCAGACCTCAAAAGGAAACCTTTCTCCAGTCCAGCAGAGCCAGCACCATATGCAGATGGTGAGATGCACATCATCATTAGACGAGATATATGACCTATATAACATGTAAAAAATAAACAACAAATACTTAGGGTTCATTCCAGCTGTTGTTGTGTAGCTCTGCAATATACTGTTTACCACTGACTTTGTTTCCCAGGAAAATATTTCTACTGATGCAATGATCTGTACATCCCCTATGTCTTTATTTTGTGTTTTATATATATATATATATATATTTTATATATATATATATTTTAAAAATATTTTCTAAGACATTTATATTTAAAAAAATATATATTTTCTAAGACATTTAGGGCAATAAGTGTTAACAGGAAAAATGAGAGAGGCCATCCAACTCATCTTCTAGGTGTGTGTACATATTTTGTCTCCCTCTCTTTGTCTGATTTAAACCCTGAATCACAAGTACAAGATCTGAGCTCACCAGCCAACACAGCCCAGAGAAGCTGATATGGGGGTATAAGGGGGCAATTCATCCAGCATCAGATTTTAATAAACTAAAGTCAGTGCTTTCCCACACCACAAGCACGTCAGATGGGGAACTCTGTCATGGGACGTGAAGAAGTCATGAGCAGAGAGGACACGCATATTTGGGGCAGAGACCGTAATGTGCCGAACAAACCTGCTGACACCGGACACCCTAAACTCTGTTGCTGGAAACTAGAGAAACATGAGGAGAAGAATTGCCTCTAAATACACACTTTTCTTTTACTCTTCTCTACACAGCTGTGACCTGTAGCAGGCACGGGGCGACATACATGGGGATGCATGCACCAGGGACACAGCAGGAAAGGGGACAGGCTCCTTACTTTGCCTGGCGACAGGCAAGAAGAGCCTAGCTGAGCAGATGTTGGTTGATCCATGCTTCTGAACCAGGGTATAGCTCCTGTCCTGTGCAGGTGAGTCTTTGAGAAGAGACAAGGAGGCACCTGGAGAAACACGACAGCGTCATCTTAAGTAAACTCTGAGGCTGCACTAGATATTGGAATATTCCCAGTCTCCCCAGTGCTGTCATCAGAAAATCTCCTACTGTCTCCAGCCTGTAATGCAGCATCCAGAGCTTTTCTCCAATGCCCTTCCTATTCTCCAGCACCTTCTCAGTGAGGTGGCTGCAGGGCTACCAATGGTCAGTTTTGAGCTGTATGACCCCCTTGTGCTGCTGTGGTAGAGCCTGGGGACAGGAACCCATTTTCTCCCCTCTTCCTAAAGCAGAGATACCACCTCCCAAGCTGCCAGTCCACAGGAGAGGGCTTGAGCATCCTGTACAAATTGGTCTACATGCTGGAGGGATGTGCTGTCCAGAGAGACCTGAACAGGCTGGAGAGGTGGGCCCATGGAAACCTCATGAAGTTCAACAAGGCCAAGTGCAAGGTCAACTGCACATGGGTCAGGGCAATCCCAAGCACAAATACAGTCTGAGTGATGAGTGGATTGAGAGCAGCCCTGTGGAAAAGGACCTGCGGGTGTTCCTGGGTAGAAAACTATGAGCCAGCAATGTGTGCTTGCAGCCCAGAAAGCCACCCGTGTCCTGGGCTGCATCAAGAGCAGTGTGGCCAGCAGGTCAAGGGAGGGGATTTCTCCCCTCTACTCTGCTCTCGTGAGACACCCCCTTCAGTGCTGTGTCCAGCTCTGGGGCCTCCAACATAAGGACATGGACTTGCTCGAGTGGGTCCAGAGGAGGCTGCAAAGATGACTGGGGAGTTGAAGAATCTCCCCTGTGAGGACAGGCTGAGAGAGCTGGGGTTGTTCAGCTTAGAGAAGAGAAGGCTTCGGGGAGAGCTTAGAGCGGCCTTTCAGAACTTAAAGGAGGCCTACAGGAAAGATGGGGAGGGATCTTTATCGAGGGTGTAGGGATAGAATGAGGGGTAACGGTTTTACATTGAAAGAGGGCCGATTTAGATTAGATATAAGGAAGAAATTCTTCCCTGTGAGGGTGCTGAGGCCCTGGCACAGGTTGCCCAGAGCAGCTGTGGCTGCCCCCTCCCTGGCAGGGTTCAAGGCCAGGTTGGACGGGGCTTGGAGCAACCTGGGCTGGTGGAAGGTGTCCCTGCCCGTGGCAGGGGGGGTGGAATTAGTTGGTCTTTAAAGTCCTTTCCAACACAAACCATTCTGTGATTCCATGAAATGCCCAGGGTGCAGTTCTAGCTGTGAGCCCCACGGCAGTGCTTGCAGTGGTAGGAAATGCTGCACCTACATCTCACCATATAATTCCCCAGTTGAGCTCAAGAGATCCCTGGGAGCAACAGCCCTCCCGCAGCCCACAGACCATCACTTGAGTGCTTTTAATCACAGCTTCAGAAGAGAAAGCCCTGCTCTCCCTGTGCTTGCAGGGGTGGGCAGTTACCCCCAGCCCCAGCCATCTGCTCCGGCTGCTGGGCACGGTGAAGGAGGGACGGCCGGACGCCTCCCGCCGAGCTGCTTTGGGCAGAGCCGGCTGCGAGTCCCCAGCAGAGCAGAGGGCACCAGCTGCAGAGCTGGCTCTAGCCGCAGACGTGCTTTAGAGCAGAGTGGGGGTAGGGAGAACAAAAGTGCTGTTTGTCCTCGCCCCAAAAATCAATAGAAAAGGGTTTTTCCCAAGACCCTTGAAGGAAAGGTATTCGGGTGCTGAGACTCAATACCGGTGCCTTTAACATTAGGGAGTTATTACCTTCCCCAGCACTTTGCCCTCCCAGTCACTTTAACCTAGAAGGAAATTTTGGGACAATGGGAACTTGGTTCCTGTTTGAGCTGGCACTAGATTAAGAAAACCTAATTTTCTTAGGCTTAGCTATTTACATGAGAGCCAGGCACATACCTCCACAGCATGCCTTTTTCGGGAGAAATGTGATGCTCTGGGAGGATGCACACTGCACTGAAGAGAAAACTGAGCTGGGGGAGAGAATACACAAGAGTTAAACACCAGACTTTAGGGGAGGTTGCTAAAACTTCTCTCTCTGCACAGAGTTAGTAAATACATGAACAGCACAGGGAAAAGCATCAGATCTTCCCAGGCTATTGATTTTTGACTTTCATTCCCCAGGCCATGGCCCAACTCATTAGTTTCAGATCAGGCAGCCTAATCTGACCTGATTCTTAGATTTTAGGCTGACCAGTCTGAATAAAGTCGCCTGCCCAGCCCTAATGCATTGACTAATGGGCCATCTGCACTCCTCAGGGACTGGAGGATTGCTGCGAGCTCGTTAGGGCGTTGGGAAGGATATCAGTATCTGAGGGTTTCCTGGACTGGGGAACAGGTTCCTCCATGCATTTGCAGCAAGGTGAAAGTTTGGGTCAAGGTTAAAAACAGGCTTTGGTAATGAAGCTTAGAGTTCAAGTGCAGAAGGGACTCTGTGTGCACATGCTGGTTTCCAGAAGTCAAAGGCTGGTGTCAAATTCTCCTCACACCCAGCATCGCTGGGGGCACCTAGGGTCTGGCACCCAGCTAGAAAAAGGGAAGCATGAACAGTCAGCAGGTGGCTTGTTTCCTGCCACAAATCTGCAGTGTTCAGTTGCACTTATTTTTAGGTAGAACAAGACCAGACCAGTAGATTTTTTTGGCAATTTGATCAAAAACCGGAAGGAAATAGACTGAGAGAAGCTTTGGTGTATGAAAGTGGAAGAGCATTGGATTAGACCAAGCCTAAGCTCTGCATCCCAGTTTGCTGATCTTTCAGGCAAGTAACATTCAGACCACCTGCCCTTTATCCAGGCAATTCATTTCTACCCCTTGTGCCTCAGTTTCCCCACCCACCAAACAGATCTTGCCCCCATAGGGTCTCCTTTTGCTTTGAGGTCTTGAGAAACACTCTGTGAGGCTCTTACTGCAAGTTTTCATCAGCAAGCCATGCTCTTTGTGTGGCTCTGGGCCACCGACTCTGTCCTGCACAGGCTCATAGACAGCACTGTGGGCTCCAGCCTTGCTCACCCTTTTGCCTTGTCGATTGCTGCTGTGGAGTGAGTTTACCGGTTGGCAGATGCTGCCTGCAAGATTTCCTGAAAATTTGGACCAGGGCTGAAGCACTGGCTTTAAAACTGTTTTAAAGCATGCTAGAAGCAGAGAGCTGGGGGAGGTGGCAAGAGGGAAAGGCAGAGATTGGAGAGGAGTGAAGAGCAGTCTGGTGTGGCTAAGGCAATGATGGCCCACTAAGATGTTAGTGCCAGAGGGCAGAGGATCCCCTGTCCTACCTGGGCCAGATCTTTTTCCCTTGTTGGTTAGCTGTGCTGAGCATCAGCCATCCGCAGAGAAGCCTCTTGGTACATCCATTTCAGCCCACCCCTGGCCCCCTTCCCTGGGGCATGCTCTGATCCTGCATGGACATGAGAAAAATTTTCCTTGAGTTTGGTTTTTAAGTCTGCATCTGTGCAACCAGTGCAAGTGAACTGAAATACTTCTGGATCATGAGAAACTCTTGCCCTCTCCCTCTATCCAGGACTCTCTCCTTCCCTTCCCCACTAGCCTTCAATTATTTAATTTCCCCTCCCCCCCCAGCATCTGAAAGCCAAGCGTCTTAAATACAAATCACCTCCAAATCATTACGTGCAGGACCTTTCAGCCCTCTTCAGAGCAATGGGCTGTGAGTAATGAGCTCTGCTGAGAGTTTGCTGGATTTCACATACAACAGATGTAAAAGATGGGGCTGGAGAAGGGGGAGGAAAGGGGGAAGGAAGCCAGATCCAGCTGGAGAGACAAAATATTTGCCACTCACCTTTTCCTTCATCTGCATCAGTAGAGGAGCTTCAGGTCCTCCTGCACTTCTGTGATCTGGCCTCTGAGCTAGGACCAGGCAAACAAACAGGCAGGGTGCAGCTTGGAATTTAAACCCTGAGCTCTCCAGGTGCTCAAGCATCCTTCCAGGGGTGGGGTCCTGCTTTAGACCTTACCCCCAGCAGACCCTGAGTAAGATCTCCCAGTTGTCCTCCCCTTCCTGCTGTGGCAGCTGAGATGCTGAGGCACAGGGTTGTAAGATGCCAGGACCTGGGCTAGGATCCAGATCCTCTTGCTCTTTCCAGGTCATGCCCAGGATGACAGAGCCTGCACAGAAACCTTGCTGCTGAGACACTGTGAACAGGAAGGAGAAATAGCAGGTTGGCTCCAGGCAAATCTCAATGCAGAGATGGACAGTCCCTGAGCTCACCCAAATTGGCCAGCTCTGTCCCTGTCATGGACACCTCTGCTGGCTGGGTGCCTCCCACACATCTCCATCCCCAGTTCCTTTGGTGCAGAGCCAGCTATTTTGGTTGAGGAGTACCTGGTGGAAGAGACTCACAACATACCATCCTGCCTTCCCAGGCTGCATCTACGCCCCCCCGCCTTGCCACGCACTTTGCAGGTGGGCGTTGCTCCATGCAGCATGTGTGCTACCACCCACAGCACCCCACAAACCTGGGGGGCAGGATGCCCTGTAGCTGAGGGTCATCCAAACTCACACACACAGAGCAAAACATCCTCTACCATCTCAAGCAAGACCCCAGCCTCTGGTGCTGGGGGAGCCAGACTGGACCATGGCTCACCCTTCCCTTCCTGCCTGGGGAAAGGTGTGGATGGAGGGGATGTGGGGTGGGGGCCGGGAAGAAAATGAGAGCAAACCCTTTCGCCGCAGACTTCAAAGTCATCATCAGCAGGAGCCTTCGGAACAGTTTAAGTACAAAATGAATTGTTTTAATATTTAATCAGTCTATAATAGGCCCGGGGTTCCCAGTGGAGACAGTTTGCAGTTGAAAGGATGTCCAAACTGAGTATCCCCCCTCCAGAAGGGACAATGGTCCTGTAGGAGCCTCTGCCCCTGAGACACATGTAAGGACAATCTCCTCTCTACCAGCTCCCCTTGATGCGGCACAGCACCTGGGACCAGCTCCCACCCACTCACCTGACATGTGCTGTGGGCTTTGAAAGCCATAACCATAAATCCTCGTCCTGGAAGATAATGATTTAATTCTCTGGTGAGCTCAGAATAAATTCCAGCCCATTCCCCTCCTATCCCATAACACCCTTGCAGAAGAGTCAGGCTCCGTTAGCCCGCTGCACTCCCTCTTCCCTCTGGGTTTGTGGGTGCACCCAAGCATTCAAAGGGCAGAGCCCCAAACACTGGCATTACTCAGGCAGGGAAGAAGTCCTTTGCCTTTCTGTGAATTGGGGTTCTTCGATGTGCAGGAAATATAAACCAGATTAGGCTCAGTTTAGCCTTTCACCTTCAGGATCAAGCTGTGGTCGTTGCTGGGCTGTCACTGCAGCCAACTCCAGACCCCACAAGTGGGGCTCAGCTGTGGTCCTTCTGCATGACCCCCAGTAGCCTCGCCTGAAGGGAGGGATGGCAAGGGACAGGCAACACTGGAAAGGCCCTTTCACTGCCAGCATGAGCACCCAGACTGTGTACTGGTTCCCCTCTCCCTTTCTGGAGTTAGAGCAACACCTTCTGGCCCCAGAGATCAGGGCTCACTGTGCATGGGGTTGCCTGATCACACGCAAGTTGGGTGGTCCAGAAACAGAGCATCACCACTCTGGTTTGCAGGTTGGAAGCTAGAGACATGGAGCCTCAAGGCAACCTCTCCAAGGCCCTGGGGCAGATCTGAGTGTCAGTCCCAAGCACACTCCTTCCTCAGTTTGGAGCACAGGAGTGCCCAGGGCATGAAGGACACAGGGTGCTTCTACCACTTCCGCTGACTCCTTTCTCCTTGTGGAAAGGAAAAGCTTCTGTACCCACTAGGAGGCAGAAGTAATTTGCTCAGTGGCAAGTCCCTGGTCCACCATCGCACTCACTGATAGAGGCTCTTTCATCCCTGGTTAGCACTTGAGCATGATTCCTACAGCAGCTTCCTCCTGGTAGTGGGATTCAGCCACATGATCCAGCGAACTGAAAGTCTCACTCTTAACTTTCTGGAAATCTCTCATTTAAATTGTCCCAGCTTGGAAGACTGGAATAATAAGCCCAGCATAGCAATCAGCTCCTGCACAGCAGCTCTCAACATGCAGTTCCAAATGCAGCAATCTCTGCTTTTGACAGGGGCCGCTAGTTATTCATGTAAACACTGCTAGAGGGCTGAGGATGCGATAGAGCAACACAGTTCTTGGACTAAAGCAGAGCTCTGCTCCTTTGCTATGAATACAACTGTTTGGATCTTGCAAGGACTTTGACAGTGAGAAACATGTCCCATCTGCAGCAGGGTTAAGGACTGTGCACTGGCACCTGGTAGGGGTAAGCAGGAAAGGGTGCTGTTTTCATCCCAAACAGCTTTCAGAAGCGTATCTCCAAAGGTCAGCAGTATTGTAGGCTCAGCCACTGCAGCCCTATTGCTCAAGGTCATAAGGAATTGCCACCACCTCAGGCTCCTGGCAAGCCCACATAGGTGCATAGGTGGGAGAGTGAAAGGAGCCAGCACTGTGATAGCTGTTGGCTTTGCTGCTTCTTATCTTGGCATAGGAGTAAGTTATCCCCCTACACCAGAAGCTGGGGTCCCGGCAGGCACTGCCAGACATAGTGGACAGGAGAGTTGGAGAGTAGCCACAGCATGAGCAGCAGCAAGCGGAGGGATCAGAGATGCCAGTGCAGTTCCACAGTCTGTCACAGAGGCAGTTTGTCCCCAGAAGGACAGTGCAATGCAGGCATCCCCAAAGCTGCAGCAGAAAGAAACAATTCCTTCATTTTCATGCCTCTGCAAGGGAGACACCTCCACCTTTCCCAGTGTGGTATCCCCCCACACCATTTGCTACTTTTTGGGGAATCCCCAGAATTACCCCACAGTGGGGCAGCCTGGCCTGGCCCAACCATTCAGAAGGCTGCATGAGAAGGATCCTGGGGAAAAATAAATAAGCCTAAAACCATTATCAATCAGGGTTATGCTTCCATTAGTTGCCCGGAGAATCCTCTACCCAGAAGCATCCTTCGCCTCACAGGTTTCAAGTTACTGCAGTTTAGCTCTCACTAACCTGCTGGATGTAATAAATAACTCTGTGGGCCCTGCATGGTAGATCTGAGGCCATTAAACATGCTGAGTTATTTTTACAGTGTTTCTTATAGAAAGGAGAAAGGGAAGGAAAAAAAAAAACAAAACCAACCCTAAACTCTCCTCTACCGGCAGAAGTGGAGTGGAGCAAAATCTTTAATCACTTTCCTACCAGCACCATCTTCTGGCCAACACCAGCCCCTTGCCCTGAGGCTGGAGTGCAGGCAGCAGCCCAGGGCCCTGCCAGACACAGGCAACTGAAGAGCACATGCTGGAAGAGTTGTGTTGTCTCCCAGTGCTTTGGTAGCACGCAGGATTGCAGACCTTCTCGGTCTGGGGACCTACGTCAGGGTCCCAGCAATCAGCACCGGTGCAGAGCAGGGCCTCCCATCATAGTTACTCCAAGCTACCATTTAGGTTTGTAACTCAGTGGTCCAGTTGCTCCACCCTGGTAATACTGAAGGGAGTCTTGGGGAAGTCAGTCGGAGTGCCCAGAGGAGATGTCCAGCTCTGCTCAGTCCCACATGCTTGGCTAAGGAAGATTTCCTCATCACCAGAGCCAGGGGCAGCCCATGGGGAGAGCTTTGCCATCCCATGGGGACCCGCACTGCTTCTGACACACAACAGCACTCTTGTTGTTCACAAACGTGGCTTTCAGACCAGGCAGCCCAGACATCTGGCCCTGCAAGGCAGATGTGCAATATCCCTAACCCTTCCCTAGATAGCCCTGCAGTCAGGATGCTTTCATCTCACTAACACTCCTGTTAAGGGAACAGGCTATGAAGGAGACCTCTTTGAGTCCAAGATCTCCTTCCCTCCTGCTGGGTGAGAGCTTCCCTTCTCTCTTGGATGATTTCAGGGGGCAGCAACCCCCAGGAAACACCCCACATGGCCACTAAAACAGTTCACAGGCAATGACAGCCAGCAAGGAGCAGCACATACAGCCCAGAACTAATGGGGACAAGGGCTTGTCCCCGTCCTTTGCTTGGAGCCACCCCCAGCTGGAGATCACCCCTGCTAGGATCCAGGAGACCAACCAAAAGCTCTGGAAAGACCCTGCATCCCCATCCCTGGAGCTGCATGACCTCCATAAACTCTTGAAGTGAGTGTTTCATGCTGTAGCAATTCACAGGCCAGCTGCAGCAGCTGGAAAATTCCAAAGCTCAGAGCTCAGCAGAACCACTATGCAATGAACACACATGGCTGGAGCAAGGACTTTCTCAACACCCAGAAGAAACCTTCTCACCTGCCCAGGGCAGTCAGCTGTCTCTAGTCACATTTTCTTTCACACCAACAGATGGTCCATTTACCCAGTCCTTGTACTTTGTTATCTTGACACCATGTTTGAGGTCCACTACACCTTGCTTAGGGTGGAAAAAAAAAGCATTTAATTCTGAACAAGAATTCTCACTGGATTTTCAAACCCTAGCCCTGTTAGTCTTGGACTGGAGTTGAGCTTTTTCCTTGCTTGGAAACATCTTTGAAGAAATAAATTAAAAGCCTACAAATACTGACTGTCTTCCTAGAAATGGCATGTTAACATTCATACCCATTTCCATCTCTTGGCAGCTCCATGTAGTAGGAGGAATGATACCTTCAGGTTTTACAGCTCTTGGACATTTCCTAGGAGCTGTAAGGGGTTTCTTAGAGCAGTCTTCATCATTTGGAGCCAGAAGGAAAGCCCAGGAGACCTGTCTATCTGCCATGGCCCTTCCTGCTGAGGAAGGAGCAGACCCCAGTGAAGCCGATGCTGCGACCTGCACACCAACAGCCAGAGTCTAAGTGATGGGTGCCTCTGGAAAAGGCTGCTTCTTCACAGTCTTTCTTGGACTCATTTGAGATAGTTAAAGGGAGCAGGGGATGACTTGCTGTTAGGCGGTCAAACACTGATGTATACCAAAAGCTCTTTTTAAAGCCTTCATGTTTAATCAAGTTGAACCAAACCAGTTTTGACTTAATTTTTGCCTTCTAGCTCCCTAACTTGGGAAAAATCACCATGTTCTGTCTCAACCCAAACAGATTTCCCCTGAAGCCCATGCATTTTCTCTTTAATTTCAGTAAGTTCTGACATCTCCCACTGTCCTGGAGAGCTGCAGGGTCAAGATGTTACAGCAGCTA